TTCATTTCGGAAAGCAGAGGACTCGTACCACTTTCTTCAGAGAGCAGATGCATATCCCCAGTCACGTTAGTGCTTTCTCCCACTTGAGCAGCCTGGAGCATTTTCTGTGAAGTGCTTTTGTCCACTGCCTGTCTTTGCTTTTCTTCACTTAGTCCTAGTAGTGCTATTGATTCAGTGCAGCCTCTAAATGTCCTGCTTTGAGTACAGGCAGTGATTTTTAGAGGGCTACATTCTGGCTAGAACACTGGCTGGCTCCATAGCCAGACAGGTGATAAAATTTACGAACACCTGGGATCTTAACATGGAAACTGGCCATCTATCTACTGTAGTCTTAGGTTCAGGCAGATGTTTTATTTATCACACATGCAGCATCTTTTTGTTATGGGTATATTTTGCTATATGGGTTTATAGGACCTCACGAAAATTTCCTTCTTGCCTAGGAACTCCTGGCTGTAGGAAGGGTCATTTACTGAGGTCAGGGGTGCTCATATACAACAGAAAGAATAATTTCCTCTACTACTGCAATTACTAGCAAAAAAACAGTGACCTCTGTTAAGCTGGAGGCCAAGGTAAGTAAATGCAATAGTGCTTTCTAGTTTAAAAAACTCACAGGGCATCAGAGGAGGCCTCCCTTTACACATGTATTGAGGATAGCTACCTAGCCATCTAGACAAGATTCCTATTAGGATGTTAAACTTCTTGGTCTAAGGTTGGAAATAATTATTTTAGTGCAACTGAAATGCAACCTTTAGCTAGCACTGAGATTGTCTAATTGATGGGGAAAAAGTCTCCAAGGACTTCATGCAGTTTAAGTGTAGTGATTACCTATATATTACCCTAGGGTTATGAAAACAATGTCAGATAGCTCAGGAGACTCTTCAATCACAGAACTCTCTGTGCAAAAATAGTTCAACTCTGATTCAGAAGACTCGGCTCCGCTGATGTGCCTGCCCCCATGTCTTTTTAGAGCAGTGTCTGCTGAAACTGCTAACTTAATGGTAACTTTGACTTTTTGTTTCCAAAGGACATGGTCCCTGAGTAAGAAGTGGACTAAAGCCATTGCACTCATGGCACAATTATTGCTGCTCTTCACCTTTCTCATTATTATGTTTTTTTTCTCTATAGATTCAGGCTGGGAAGTGGAAGGACCAGCCAGCTCTACCCCTCTGCTTGTGGTGCACTACTTTTAGAAGTGTCTTATTGCTTCACTGCTTTTTCTAACCCCAGTTTTTTAGCCAAATGTGTAATGATGGATTTGGCAGCCACAGTATTGCCAGCCACCCCAGTCAGCTGAGCAGCAGTGTCTTAGCTGCAAGGGGATGCAAAGGCTGCTCTCTCCCCATTCTGCAATAGGAGACAGTTTCTCTATCAGTTGAAGTCTGAAGTTGGACTATGAAGAGAGGTCTCAGAGAAGCTGCAATAGAAAGTTCATCTGTATTTGAAAAATCTACAACTATACAAAGTGAAAAAAAAAAAAAACACTGCATTTTCTTGAGTCCTTGTCACAACGTTATTAGCATCATTTAAGTACAGACCAGGACCTGGCAGCAGCCAAACCTGCACCCTGCCGATTATCATGCCTCACTGTGTCTAACAGATGCTTGACTTAAGAACCCAAGAATTTCATTGCTCAAATATTTAATTAGATCCCTGAGCCTAAAAATGGTTTTCAATAATGTGTGTGCTGCTTTGGGGCCTCAGAAAAGCCACTTTGGGAGCTAGGAAACATTTCCTGGGCAGCAAAATGACATCAAAAACACATTTGATAAAAAGGAGAAGGCATAATGATGGTTTTTACTCTAATGTTATTTTACTTCATTTCAGAAGCTTGCTGTAAGCTTAAGAGAGGGGGGAAAACACTGGATTTTATTTTTCTTATTTTTTAAAACAAAATTATTCTCATCTAAAGTTTGGTTGTTGGCTTTTTTTCCCCTAAACCCAATAAACCATATATTGGAATGACCTTGTAGCAGGATTCTGTGACTCTTTAATCACCAGTGGCCGCTAAATGAAACATATCTATTTTCTGTTACATTACTATTGGCAACCAGGTCTTCAGTAAGTGCCCAGAAATATTTCCATGGCAACAAAAAGCATTCAGCATTGCTACTGTTTTGTGCCAATCTAGCTTTAAAATATTCTATTGTGGAGAGAAATATGGTACATTAAGTGAAATAAAGTCAAGATGCAATGTTCTGAAAAGAATATAAGGATAAACAGGAAACATGTATTTTTCAGAAATGGGGTAAAAAAATGCCAAATGGAAGGAAAAATATGCAAAGCTAATATAATGCTACTGAACGTCTTTACTGAATGTCAGCAAGCCCATATGCTCACTTACATTGACAAGTTTAGGTAACAAAGCTAACAGAAATAAGGATACCTCAAACATCTTCTCTTGATCTTTTTAATCCATGACTGAAATTTTAAGTTGCCAGGATATTACAGTCTCTCTGCATGTCTAGGTTACCATCAGAAGAGTTCACACTCTTGATGTTAGAGAATGAATCTAAAGGAAAAAGAGGAAATAAAGAGTTGAAAAATAAAATACAAAGAGCATGCGTGTGTTTTGGAAGTGAAGGGTCACATAGAAGAGCAAAACGAGTTCTTCCACATCAAAGAGCTTGTGGAAGGCATTTTCAAAACACAGTTCAGCACTTTCTCTCCCATTATACAACTAAGTTGTGAGAAAAAAGGCATCAGCTCCCGGCCCTCCAACTCTCAAACTTTTGAGATCACTGGACAGCCCTTTGATAAAAAGATAAATGACTACTTAAGAGCATTTGAAGTGACATTCTCTCTGGTGTAAAAAGTTATGCAATGCCCCAGAGGGCTTCATGTTGAAGTAGAGAGCTCTAGGAGGCAGCAATGTGTGTGCTGGGGAGCAGCTCTCTGTGACCAGCCTTCGGATCCACAATGGCTCCATAGAGCTTACTGTGAAGGAAAGCCAGTAATATCGAGTCGAACAACTACTTGATCAGTACCTGTTCTCAGCTGTGAGAGAGGTTCAGCATGACCCTCCCCTTTACCTGCAGTGACTCTGGCATCTGTCTATCATCCTATGTGTCTCTCACCAAGAAAATGAATCTGGCTCATCACATGCTTCTAAGGATGCTCTTTCTCAGATGTCCCAGCTGACAAGACTGCAGGTAAGAAACTACACTTATGTGACAGCAGCCCATTCTTGGCCCCCATTTCCCTGAAAGCTCACTACATTCTCTCCGATCCAGTCAGCCACAGTGTAGTTCAGAGACAGGACAAAATCTGGAGGCCACCATCAGAATAATGCATTCAGTACATGGCTGCTCCCCAGCCCTCTCTGAGAGATTTGCCATGAATTGCTTAACAGGCCCTCTTGGGGGTAGAGGCTCTACAGAAGACAAGGTTGAGCACTGGATAGAACCAGGAGGATCCACGGCCCTACCACCACTTGGAAGGACACTACCATGCCCTGCTCCATGGCATCTGTGCACACACTGGACACCTAATCCTAACACACATAGATACATAATAGCAAATCCAGACCTGCAGCAATGACTTGTGCCTATGAACAAACCCTTTGGGCAAGATATCACACAGGCATGTATAGGGGTACCAGAAAGCAGGGGGATATGTACAGGTTAGAGGTTGTGCTCCAAGAGATACAGCTCTGGGGTGCTTAACCTGAGAACCGGCAATCATTCATCTGGAATATGAAACAAGAAGTCCCAGTTTGGGAGACAGAACAGCTAGACCAAAAGCTCTTTTTAACTATTTACTTGCCGGCCATAACAGAGTGAGGAATAGTAATAAAGAAAAGAGCTAATTTTAACATTCTTAAAGAACACCATCAAGGTTTATACCCTCTCAGTCTGATATTCCTATTAAATACAAAAGAAAACAGGCTGATCTTCTGCAGTCTGCATAGAAAAAGCTAAATATGTAAGACTTCTCTAGAAGCCAAGAGTGATGAAAAGCTCTTGGTCATCATAAACCAAAGATTTTCAAGAGCATCTACTGCCTGCTTCAGAAGAAGGAATTTACATATTTGAAGCCAAATTCTGAAGACCGTCAGTGAGTCTCAAGTTCTTCAGTAACTTCAAATGGTAGATTCACTCCTCCCGCCCCGTTTCCTCCCTTGTCCCCCTTTCTAGGATGTTGCTAAGGAGCAGTTTTAACACAGTAAGTCCAAAGGATGGTGCCAGCAGGACTGCACCTTCCTGCTTGTGGTTGGGACGTACATCTCCATCAGTCCTCTGTGACTAAGGTAAATTCTAGCCACATTTACAGCAATATTTAATGAGTACAAGTCACATGGCTGAAATCCAGTCCTGAACACAATCATCTGAAAAGCTGTTCACATCACTTAGTGATCAGGAGTTATAGTTAGGCTTATTTAAAACTGAAAATATCAAATTCAGTTCTCCTTCCCCTAATATCCTGCCTGCTGTCCTCTTCAGCCTTATTTGAAAAGCCTGTGGGGGTGGTGGGAGGGAAGGAAAGTGATTTGGAAGCCTCTCATCCATAAAATCATGAGATATGGCTGGCTTTTTAGTACAGCATTCACAGCACATGGCACAGTAACATCTTGAGATTCCTGGCACAAAGAAACAAGGTTTGAGATTATATATATCTTTAATAGCAATGACGCAAAGGCAGATGGCTCTCAAAGCAAAGGCTTAAGGCTAAACACTCCCTTTGAAGGGTCCTGCTACCAGAAACAAAATAGGAAGGTGGCAAAATACTCCTTGCTGCAGCAACAGGACCCAATTGCCTTCTAATACATAACATTTAACCCTGAAGATTTCCATATATTTCAAGGAGATTAGCCTCATGAACAAAAGAAGAATTGGAAATAAGAGGAAAGGTTAGATTTTTTCTTTGGGATTTGGGGAGTTTTCTTTCAGCTGTGGGAAACAAAGACAACACAGAACATAATGAGCAGATTAGCAACTAAATCAAATCGATACCAGAAAAGTGAGGTCTGGATAATACTGTCAGGGTGTGTGCTAGCTGCTTACCTGCAAAACTTGCCTTGCCAATATTACTTTTTAAGGGGCTACTCAAGCTGAGGTTGTGCCCATGACATTCCATCTTCATGGAGGGTTCACCTTCTTCCTCAACAATAGGAGGAAGCCGATCAAGTGTCTGGAGATCTTTGTTTGTCCAGTAGGATCCATTAGCTATCAAAGACCTAGTGCTTTCAACACACTGCTCTGGTAAGCTGCCGGTATTTTTAACCTGCTTTTGCTTCTGCTGACTCATGCCAGAGCCATGAGGGAGGTCTTGTAAAGCAAGATCATGACCTCCAATGTGACCATCTTCTTTAGGATATAAGTATTCCTCATCCCAGAGGTCCAAGTGTCGTTCATCATCCAATTCCTCTGAATAATCCTCATAAACTTTGTTACTCTCCAAGTCCCGGTTCCTCTCGTCTTCTGATTTACGACCCATTCCACTCAAATTCAGCAGTGAAGCAGATACAGAGTCTCCTGCTTGTTGGATAGCTTCATATATTTGAGATATCCAAGATGACAGTGGCTGAAGGAAATTCTGAGCAGCCTCAGAAGCCATGTTTAACACTATGTAAGTATCTGGTGATCAGTTCAGCTTTGCCAGCATGTCACTTGTAATTCAGGTTGCTACAGAATAAGCATCGTAAGAGATTATTGTAAATTACTTTTCCATCAACACCTGTCGACACAGTATGTAAGATGTGTAGAACTGAGAGAAAAAATGAAAAATGCACTTCTACCCATTGAGAATAGCGTTAGAAATCCAGAAATGATGAACAAATTACATGTATTTCTGCAGAGATCTAGAAAGCTTTCATTCAATTGCTAAACCTTACATTAAAACAAAAACATAGAACATTGGAACAGAAGTACCTTTTCTGAAGCACATACATGCTGGTTACAGCTGTCAACAGACCTGGAAAAGAAGTACAAAACAACCTGTAGTCAAATACCTCAAACAATCTCCTGGCCCTGACTTCCATCATTAGCATTACCATGTCCAGATGGGAAAATTGAAGGGTGGAGAACTTGGTAAGAATTATGTTTTGATTGATCTAAGTGATAGGCCTAAGGTATGCAGAACCAGCCCACAGCAGACAAGTATGTCAAGTGTTTTTCTCCAGAAAGGCTCTGAAGAAGACCTCTCTGTCCACAGAGTAACACAACCCAGACTTGTTTTGTCCTTCATGGAAATCAAAAACAAAACAAACAAACAAAACCCAACTAAGCAAATAAGAAAACACACTCCAAAACAAACAAACAAAAACCCATCACCAAACAAAATACAGAAGGCAGAATATTATATGTATGAAATTACAGGGAACAGAAGCAACTTAACAAGAACACCGGAATCATGTCAATGCATATTTTCTCAAAATTTATGTAAAGCCTAAATAAAAACATGACTTGCAGAAAGTTAAGGTGACTTTTCGCCCAATATACATCTTCCCACATTATCACAAGACAGATACTCTTCTAGGAGCCCTGAGAATGAGAAACCTACAAATAGGATGATGGGGTTAGGAAGAAAGAATTAAACAGTTGCAGATTTTAGGCTAAAATAAACAAAAAGAAGAATAAAAAATTAATACCAGTTTCTTGCTGAACTTAAAGATCTAGGTGCAGTCAAACTGTATATGGGTAAACCCAGCATAAACAGCAAGAAAATAAACTCAGCAGCAATGTGTATTACCTTCTGAAATGGTCTCCAGAGAAATGTAGTGGGAATCCCAGTTGTTTTTTTTAAGGGAGCAGGGACTACAAAGATCCCACCTTGCTCAGTGAGCATCTTTTTTACAGATGAGACTTAAGATGTCTTTACCTTTTGAAACACTTGTGCCAAATAATTTTGTTCAGTGATGTTGACTTACACTGCAGATACTCCCAACAAGTTTATTATCAGCTTCAGTATGTACTAAGAATTACAGTCCTGACAAGAGCAGTAAAGGAATGTAGGTTACTAAAGCCATTTTAAGAGCTGATGTCTGTTACAAACTCTCCAGGCATGGGGCACATAGTGTTCCAGTATCTATGTGTCAACCAGAAGCCTCTGGTTCAGCCACTAGGACCCAGGTAATGCTCCCTGCCATGCATTAAATCTTTGGCAAAGAACAGACAATGCCATGGCTTAACCTTGCATGAGGCGAGTTGTTCCCTTCATTGTCTCTCCTCTTTCCAACCCTGCCCTTGGCGAAGCCTCTCTGCTTTGTGCAATTTTTTGCACAAAGAGAAAAATCTATTTTCTCATAAATCTAAAATGCTCACACACTTCAAATGACACATTTTTAGCATAATGCAGATTTGTTACTGGTAAGTCAACATCACCAGAGAAATCACTAGCAGGAGATGGTATTTGTAACAGACAGATTCTCATAGGCACGGAAGGAGATAAATTTGAGTGGGTAAGTACTAGTTACCGGATACATTTTTAACCTGTCATTTATTTACAGGCAACAGCGAATCAAACTCTGATTTCAGATGAAATGAGAACTTCATAACACTCTGCCTCCGTCTCAGCAGCAAGACACATGACAGCAGTAGCCCTTGAAGAGATGCAGGCATTCAGGAGTGATAGCTAACCAATGCAGATAAAACATATGGGTGCTAAAATGAAGTGCTGATCTGTTCTTAAAATCATCAGAACATAGACTTGTGATATTTGCACAGGGAATAATTAGCTCCTCTTGTTATTAAGTTTCAGAGCTAACACCCAATTGGTCCAACAGAGCCATCCCACTTCTCCCGGATGCTGTGGCTGACTGTACCACAGCTCAGGCAAACATCGCGGTCCTGCACAAGAGACTCCTTTTTAGGCATTACAACCATAAAGATGGAGGGAATTTTTCAAGGTGAGATTTTACTTTAGTCAGGGAACTAAAGCCATGATCTCCAGTCACCTGCATGGCTTTGATGTGGTCATTCAGCTATCCAAACAGGCAGATAAGACTTGAACACACAGCTTTCATATACTTAGTAGTTGACCCAATCATCTTGCTATAAGTAAGCTAGGGGAAAACATGACGCACACATACAGATATGTATATATCCACAATTCTACATAAGACCTGGAAATTTGCCTTAAGTGAAGCTGGAGAATGCCAACAAATGGTTTTATTTCAGTTTATAGACAATGGATAGACATTGAAGTATATTTCACCCAAAAAGCCTGAACCACTTTGCAGTAACACCTGCAACACATCTGTCCAACTTGCAATCCAGCACCTGCATAATCCTTACAGGTAAAAGCAGTGCAATTTTCACAGTTCCTGACTGTTTAAGCTTTGCTTGGCTGTTTCTCCTGTCCTCTACCTCTTTACAAAGACTCCACAGTCAGTGATAGCTGAACAACTGGAGTTCAGCTGAATTCTAAATTGCTTATTTTTGGTCCTGCAGCAGATGGATAAAATGTGTAACAAGCTGCAGACAAGTTTAAGCGGGCAGCGTTTTTACAAACTCAACAGAGGATCAAAGGGGCTGAGCTCTGTTACAGACTTGCTGTTTCCCAGGAGCTCTCTTCGTTAATTAGCAGGCACTGCTCTAACAGGGTGTTTATAATATATTTCATAATGTGGCCTTTTCAGCATAACAGATTTTTACTTTTGAATTCTCTAATAATTTTGACTTGTATTACAAAAAAAAAAAAAAAGAACTGAGAAGATAATTTAAAATGTGTGGGAAAGAAGAATCCTTTCCTTTTTAAAAGTATTCATGAAGAAAGAGAGAGAGGAAAAAAAACAGTTTAACAAATTCAGTTCAAATTCCATCTTCTAAAACTAACAACAAGAATCTTCACACTGAATCGCTTGCTTAACTCAAAGCTTTTTTTTTGTTTGTTTTCCTTTTGGAAAATCAGCTAAAAGGATCAATGTTAAGCCTCTCACAGAAACCATCATAACCTTTACTACGATCTATATTCCCTCGTCTTGATCAGATCATTACTACTGAGTAGCGTTCCCATTGAGAGGTGCAATTAGTGTATGGCTAAAAAAAAGAAAACTATTAGCAGAATTTCAAACACTACCACAATGCAGAGGTTTGTAATATTAACAAAGTGTCTTTCCATTTTCTTGGTATGCAGGCTCCTAAACAATTGCCACCAGATGAGGATTTCTTAGAACATTTCCCTTATTCAAGCTGTCATAGAGCATAGGCACAAACTGCCTTTTCTTCTATCACTTTTTGTGTGTCCTTGTAGAAGCTGCCTACCAAACTCTTCCATTGTAGGGAGGTTCATAGACCACAGGTTGAAAATAATGTCCCAGCATATAACAACTGAACAATTTTTAAGTAAGTGATTATTTCTAAAACACTAGAAGAGAAGAAATCTACAGCCTCCCCGCCTCTGCCTGGGAATGCACTGTCCCGTGTAGAGACACAAGAAGAGATCAGCTCCCAGCTTTCAAAGGTCTTAAGACATTTTTGTCACATCAGTGTTTTAGGAAGATCCCTTTCTTTTGCCACTGCCAAGAAAACTGTACCAAAAAACTTTTTTGGCAGTTTGGGCAAGTTGTTGAATCCATCTGTCCACAACTGAAACTCTGAGTGGTGAGCTGGGTCACCAGTTTAGACAGCCACACTTTATGTATCCAGATGAATGATTCCTCTGCCTTCCCCACTTTCCAGAAATTTTATTTAAGACATTGATAATGATTTATCTTCTGAGCTCACTGGCTCCTCGTGTCCACCTTCCATGACATGGATCATATCCATGGACAGGAGCTTTATTTGTGTGAACATCTAGGAAAAGCAGTGTTACAGACCCATCATGAAGTCCTGCTCCAAGCTTAGGAGGAAAGACCTAAACCAAAGTGTGAATCTCAGCTTTTGCCTAAAACATCAAGGTTCTGCACAAAACACAAGGTCATTTTGCTGTTCATGAAAGAAGGGAGTAAGGAAGGCTTGGAGGGGTAAGATGATTTAATAACTTTTTTTAAACTATTTAAAACTATAATGACCCTGATCCTGCTTTTGGATTGTAGCTCCAATTAGCACACATGTAAAATAGCAGAGGAAAGATTAGAAATGTACTCCACTGAAGGCAGGCAGAGGCAGTACTGGGCCAAGAAGTCCTCTGTCCCAGTTCTGGGAACAATCTGAACTCCTCACTTCTACAGTTGCCAGAATCATATTTAAGGACATGCTAGCAGAGCCCTTCCAACCTCACAGTGAAGGGTAACCAAGCAATTGGTTTGAAGTTGTTGATGCCCCATTTCTGGAAGTGCTCGAGGCCAGACTGGATGGGGCTTTGAGCAACCTGGTCTAGTGGAACGTGTCCCTGCCTGTGGCAGGGGGGTTGGAACCAGATGATCTCTAATGTCCCTTCAAACCCAAACCATTCTGCGATTCCATGATTCTATGAAACTGTATTTCCAATGAAAATTTCACAGTGTCAAAACCAGTCTCTGCACTTGAAGCTGCGCAGTTGATTGGAGCCCCTTGCAGAAGCATTATGAGGGAAGTTCACAGACAGTGCCCAAGGTTCACATCAACTGTGGGTGTCACTGCTGACCAAGTTTCCCTAAGATAAAACAGAAATAGATAATATCTTGGTATCTTTTTGGCCTACATGGTATAAAAATGCTATTTATGTAGCTGACTTTAATGCATAAAATGAAAAGACGGAGGTACTTTCCAAGTGATTATGTGCTCTGTAATAATAGTTTTCAGCTGGTGATTCAGAAACTCCAGGGCATTCAAGGAAGATCTAATGATTTATACCAATAAATTACACACATCTCATTGGAAGCATTCATGGGTTACAAATCAACAAGGCAATAAACCCACTGCTGCAAGGCATCAGTCCTGCAAGTCTCAAAAGGGTGAACTGAAAACAAATGTGGGATCAAACAGACAGCAATGCACCCTGCTGCACAGAATTTAGCCTGCACAGGGGAAGCCTGCAGACTTATTCCTCAC